CCTGTTGCGGTATGGCCATACGTGATGACCGTTCCATTGCGGCAATCTACCACCCCGTTGATGATAGGCTGCATCGCTTCGGCGAGAATGTCTTCGTTCGACACTTCGTGGTTGAAAACGCGATCTGCAAGACAATAACGATAACTCGTTATCCCCATGTTGAACAAATCTGTCGCACCGCAGTGAAAAATAAAAAAAAAACGAAAGCCTTCTTTTTGTACGCTAGTTCGAAGTGTAAGTCAAACTACGATATTTCCAATTTGAAAGTAGACCAACGAAAGATATCCTCTGATGTGGGCAAGGCTAACGTTCTTAGTCAGTTCTTTAGCAGTGTTTTCACAGATGAGAACTTTAACAGTATTCCAGCTATTGAGGAGCGCCCGGTCGGCTCAATGTTGAAGGTTTTGAAATACACGAAGATGTTCTCTAGCGCCGGGTCGCTCTAAATCCCAACAAGTCATGTGGACCAGACGGCTTCCACCCTAGATTGCTCAAAGAATTAGCCACCGTCCTGGCCGGCCCTCCGGCAGCATTATTCCAAAAAATAACTTGAACGAACGAATATTGCCGACCGATTGGAAAGAAGTTCAAGTAATACCATTGTTCAAAAACGGCGACCAAAGTAGCCCTGGTAACTATCGCCCTGTAAGTATGAAAAGTGTTGTTTGTAAGGTAATGGAATCTGTTGTGAAGGATAGGATTATCGATCACTTGACTGTTCACCATCTCGCATCAGACTGTCTACATGGCTTTATTGCCGGTAGATCTGCACCTCTAACCTCTTGTCTACGTTGAACGATTGGACTCGCCTGCTGGACGAAATGGAGCCAGTGTATGCATTGTCCCTCGATTTGGCCAAAGCATTTGACAGTGTTCCGCATGAGCGGCTGTTGCGTAAAGTGAAGTCTTTTGGAATTTGGAGTAATGTACTACGTCGGATCTTAGATTTTCTAGTAAGTAGACGACAGCGTGTCGGTATTAACGAGACCCTGTTCAATAGGGCATCAGTGCGCGCCACAAGGAAGCGTTCTTGGGCCTATTTTGTTCGTTGCTTTTATAAACGATCTGCCAGAATGATTTTCAAGCGTGTGTTCATGTATGCCAGTGACTAAAGTATATAATACAGTTAAGGGTGCATCAACCAAGGTGCAATTGCAAGATCATCTTGACAGTTTAGTTAACTGGGTTGATACGTGGAAGCTGCGTTTAATGCTCACAAGTGTATAAGTACTTCACCTCGGGAGGAACAATGAACAGCAACATTACAGTATGAGAAGACATGGTTGCGACGAGAAATTAATGATTTGAAAGTCTAGCGTGGAAAAAGATCTGGGAGTTCATGTCGACAATGGCCCGAGATTTCTAGGCACATTGAAACGCAAGCTAACAACTCCATGAAATATACGTCTTCGACTGCTCAGACGCCCATACGAGTACCACCAAGATGTAGAAGCGATGAAGCTGTAGTTTGTCACTGTTGTGCGCCTGAACCTAGAGTCTGCACAAAAACGCCGTAAGGTCACCGAAACTTGAAAAGAACAAAAATTTAGTAGAGGTGTTCAAAGACGTGCAACAAGGATAATTCCATGCTTTAAGGGCAAGTCCTACGAAGAAAGATTAAAGATTAGAAAGCTTCCAAGCCTGTTATCGACGTCTGCGTGGTGACTTCATTGAAGTATACAAGTGTACTCGTGGTATATACAAGGTCTCAGAAAGATAGCTAGAATTGGAAACAAGAACTAACACCAGGGACCACGTCTATAAACTAAAAAAAAATGTGTTGCAACTCATCAATTAAGCGACAAAATTTCTTCTCGCTTCGAGTCACCGACATGTGGAACAGCCTCCCTGATAGCATCGGTGACGCTCCAACTTCAAGTATGAACGCGTTCAAGAACAGACTAGATAAAGCTATGGAAAAAATATATGTTCAGACTTGAAATGCCTAGCACCATATCGAACCCGGTGGATGTCTAGTAGCTTTTTCAAACGATCGTCAGTCCTGAAAATATCCGGTCAAATGACACGATTTTAGATCTTTTGTGAACAAGTCACGGAAAGTACATGAATCGATGACAGGCCACATCAGATCTATTCTGCAGCGCCGACATCCTTATGTTATGTTACATTTATTCTTGCAATTCAATATTTCATATCAATTTCACAATATTTATCCAATCACTTAGCTATAATATTGCAGATATATCACGGCAAGCATGGATACTTAATGTTGTGTAATGGTAGCGGATTTGTTTCAATTCAAATTTTTAATGGGTTATCGCACGGAAACCATCCACAACTCACATCCACAAACGAGACCGTGAAAGTTGTGAAACGAGACCGTTTTCGAGAAACATCCACAACAAATCTCACCGAAAGAGAATGTAGTTCTATTTTGCTGAATGACGATCTATTCAGTGGTTGTCCAGAGCCGGGTATCCCCTACAGGTCCCCTAAATCTAATATAGGTTTTGATAACTGGAGATCACTGATTATAAAGAATTATGTAAAAGAAACCTAAAAAAATAAACTAATTATTTTTCTTTAGACTTGACGAAAATAAGCACCTCAGACTGTACAGGATTCCCAATCTCATAACCGAGCCGCGGTCAGAGTACTGAACCTGGCTGAGAGGAGGGTAGTTTAAATTCTTTATATCAGTATTCAGTGTTTTGGCAGTGAAATATTAGTTCCCCGATATTAACCACAGAACACATGGGTGACGTGGCAGCATCTCCCGTGCAAGCTTTGCAGCTGCCCCTGATCATACTTTAACTGAAGGAAGACCGAACCTGTTAGGAAATATACACAAATATAGAAGTTCAAAGCAAAATTTTATTTGAAAGTCGAGTGTCGGGGCCCATTCAATAAATAAATAAGCCATCAGTGGCCCCAGACAATTACTTATGATCGCACTGTAATAACTATCCCCATTTAGAAGGATGAATAAAACAATCGATGAACAACAAATAATAATCGAAATGACCTATCAATGAATACAAAAACACTAAATATGCTAAACCAAACCGTGCGCTTTCTTTAGGCCGACTAACTAGTTTCAATAAAGATCTGATCAAGTCCTTATGTCGAAGCTTTCTGCACATACAAAAATGAAAACGCGCAATTAGAACCAATGAAGTAAGTAAACTAATAAACACAGAAATATAGAATAGAATAGAAGTGTCGGCGTTGAAGAAATAGGCCCAAGGCCTGTTGCCGATTCTTGAACTTTTCGTGACTTGATTCACAAGGGATCCGGCCTTTGGAACCCGATCTTTCCATAGCTGACGATTGAGATAGCTGCTGGACATATTGCCTGATCCGTAATTTGCTAGGCATTTTAAGACTGAACATATGCTCCTGCATAGCTTCGTCTAGTCTTATTGCCTGGTCCGTAATTTGCTGGGCATTTTAAGACTGAACATATGCTCCTGCATAGCTTCGTCTAGTCTGTTTTTGAAGATGTTTCTTCGACACAATCTCATAAAGAAAATTTTTGCGGGAAACTACTTTGTTCCCGACGTCGTCTACACGGCATCCCTGCAGACTTGTGATTCATTACATCTCTTTTGTTATGAAGTATTTTAGGTAACTTTAAGATATTGTCATCTAAACTTAACCTCCTACTTTATGATCTCAGGTACCGTAATCGTAGGCCAAGCCCAACCACAGCCGTTGGCACTAGAACAGTAAGCAAGCCCAACCCCACGTTGGCAATAGCAAGGATGACATTAGATACAGGAATAAATATAATTACAAATATTCACTTGAACGTCAATAAAAAAAGGCCACACTAGGGCACTATCAACACTGAAAATAGACACGACTAAAAGAACCACGTACCTCTATGGTGTAATCGCACACATGAATGACAAGGTACAACAGATTCCTACGCTAGGTCACGTCAGTGGTGACTAAAGACCTAAAAGAGAAATTACTAATCTAATATTTACATGACCATTACGTTCCCTTACACACAGGATTATTTCCTGAATTCAGCGGCGACGTAAATTGCAAAAACTCCGTCGGTTCCTGAGGTGCAAACTGGAACGAGAGTCCGTCGGTTCCTGAAGTGCAAACTGGAACGAGAGAACACTGGCCGTCGCTAAGATGAATCTAGAAGCCAAAATTGGGTCTTTAACCAAGTTCAACATGTCAAACAATTATATTCACTATTTCAACTTGAGCGGCGCAAGATAAATAGCCGCATTCCCAGTGCTATTTCCATTCCTTCTAACAACCAGCGTCAGAGACCAACAAGCGTCACAGATGAAACCAATGAATCTTCGTAGAACGTCCAAACGAAGTTGATTACAGACGCCAACTGTGAGACGATAAATCAGAGGTTACATTTACTGTAGAATGAAGAAAGTTCTTCAATATAGGCACGAAAATTGTTGATAGTGTATAACAATATCAAATGAAAGAATCACAAATTCGTGATTAAGGGTTTCTCTCAAATCTCATCGTGAAACGCCGGAACACGAAATTGGAGATGTCAACTCGCAGTGTGAGGATTCGTAACCGACAGTTAAAAAAGGTCAGTTAGAATATCCAATAATTCAATCAGTCTCAAAATATTCCAATATAGCGCACTAAATCAGAATAAATCAACTGAGAACGTACCTATTTGTCTCCAGAGAAAGAAACCATAGCCAGAGTTCTCACAAAGAGAACAATTAGAAAGAATGAAAAAGGGAAAATGGTATAAGGTGCGTTTGCCCATATTTGAAGGTGATAGGGGGTAATACAGGGTGTTTCAGAATTAAGTAACCCTTTTAATTTGTTAATAAATAAAAAACTAAGAACGTTATGAAGTTGAAACTTGTTTTATTTAAAAGAAGAACATTTTTTGACGGACCGCAACACACCCGAGAACAATGGCCCACAGCTCAAATTCGGTGACATCCGTCCTCATTGACGTCTAGGTGGCAACTAGTGTTCAAAGCGCGCGGTCTCAAACAACCGAGTACAAAAGTAGTGTAAACGGTTGTGCGCGGTGAGGCACTGCAGCAAACGACTCAAAGCTCATGTCGTTGCCACTAGTGTAAACGGGCCTAAAAGGCGCAAAGCCAGTACGATGATATTTAAACGAGCAAACACTGAAGCGCTAACATGCAATTTTAAAGAACTTCTAACAAAATGAAATCACATTTGCTCCAACTTAAAATAAAAAAATCTCTTAGGCAGCAAATTAGTCCAAGTATTAGATCCGTATAGTCATGGATTTGAAGCAATAATGACTACGATTGGACTGAACGACGACGTTCTCGCCTCCACCCAATCAGCTAAAGCAAAGCGTATGTACAATAATTAAGTAATTAGGATACAAATTTTAACACGCGTGAGAGACCAGGCCTTAATGTGAAGCTCGCCTAACAAATATGTTACAAAGGCACATGACAGGCCTGTATGAAAGATACATGTGTGAAAAAGGAAGATGCCTACGTGAGAAAGAAAGATGCATGCGTGAGAAAGAAAAATACATGCGCGTGAAAGATACATGACAGGTCTATCTGAAAGATACACGACATGCCTATCTGTGCCGTAAATTTATAGACGTGGTCCCTGGTGTTGGTTCTTGTTTCAAATTCTAGCTATCTTTCTGGGACCCTGTATAAACCACGAGTACACTTGTATACTTCAATGAGGTCACCGCGCAGACGTCGATAACAGAGGCTTGGAAGCTTCCTAATCTTTAATCTTTATTCGTAGGACTTGCCCTTGAAGCCTGGAATTATCCTTGTTGCACGTCTTGGAACACCTCAACTAAATTCTTGTCCTTTTCAAGTTTCGGTGACTGTACGGCGTTTCGAGACCAGGTTTAGGCGCACAACAGCGACTAACGACAGCTTCATCGCTTCTACATCTCGGTACTCGTAGGAGCGCCTGAGCTGTCGAAGACGTTTATTTCATTGATTTATTATTAGTTCATTGTTCTTCCCGAGGTGAAGTACTCTACACTTGCGAGCATTAAACGTAGCTGCCACATATCAGCCCCATTACTAAACTGTCAAGATCATACTGCAATTGCAACTTAGTTGATCCACCCTTAACTGTATTATATACTTTTAAGTCATTGGAATACATGGAGCACACGCTTGGCACTCCTTCTGGCAGATCGTTTATAAAAGCAACGAACAAAATAGGCCCAAGAACGCTTCCTATAGTGGCGCGTCCTGATGCCCAGTCTGACAAGGTTTCGCTAATACTGACACGCTGTCGTCTACCTACTAGAAGCTCTAAGACCCAACGGACTACTTCCAATTCCCTAAAGGCCCGTTCACACTAGGGGCAACACACGAGAGTCAAGTGCCTCAAAGCGCATGCAGAGGCGCTTTGCAGCCTCTGCATGCGCTTCTTGACCGATTGACGAGCTAGCGATTGACAGGGGCCATGCCTCATGCAACACAAGCGCGGCGCTTAGTAGATAGCTATTAAAGAATTGATATCACTTGTATGCCTGTCTCTTATACACATCTAGATGTGTATAAGAGACAGGTTCCACCTCGTCCAATATACAGGAGGTGGGGGATATATACTGGGACTGGGGATCGAAGCGGGCCGATCCGAACTGAATTTGGAACAAGACGGAACTGATCAAAGCGAGCAGAACCAAACTGTGACTGAGACTACCACTGGAAACAGTACCTGCGGTGAAAGATAAAAAAGGAAGTTCAAGTAAAATAGAAAATTGAAATAGAATGGAAGATTAACTGAATTCATAACGATCATACTTACTTTCGTCAGTGTACTTCCCAAACTTGCGACGTTGGGGGGGGCTTGAGACACTTGGGGGACTTGCTACGTTTAGGGGCCTTAGACGAATCCTCCTGAACCTCTTCGTAGGTGCACATCTTGTTCTTTCGACGTTTGTTGGCCTAAGACGCATCCTGCACACTCTTCGGAAGTGCACATCCTAGTGTAGTGGTGGCGCCCAGCTCTGCGCCAGTATCTGGTCAGAATCGGCAAGGACGCCGGGCGGTTAAGCACAGCATAATTGTTGCAGCGAGTTGAGAGTTCGAGACCGCAAAATGCTGTGAATTTTCTGCGATGTTGGGAATTGGCGACAGGACTACGGCCTACTAAACGCTGAAACCGCTTTTATTATTATTATTATTATCATCATCGTATAGAGTCCAAATTTATGGATCACCTGTCCATTATGAATTATCAAAAAATTACATCGATCAGTTGAATTTTATTGCTGTAGCGATGACTCATTTTTTTCCATCAGAACACTGAAAGTGAAAGATCACATCGCGGATGTCAGATAGACTATTCTTGATATAACCGCCCTTCCTGACGCGCTCGATATCTGTGCCGGTCTGTGAGGGGTTTTCCAATACCGCGAGGTCGACCAGGACAAGATTTGAAATCACAGCCACGTCGTCCTTTAACGCCTCATCTCTGCTGGTGCTAGGCCCATCAGTAGCCTTGTGTGACTGCACAATCTGCGCATATAGACAACCCCAACTAAATAAGCATTGTAAGAACTATATCTTACAAGTCCTCTCATTATGAGGAGGTCGAGAAAAAGAGATAAAACTACAAGGAAATAAATTGTTAACGAGCAGTCTTTCAACGATCAATGTAAAAAACAAACTGAAGAGAAGAAAAAATTCGTGAAAAAATGTGGAAGGCTGGACAGCGTGACCATAGTCCACTCATTGAGACAACATTCCTCGAAGAAAAGACACTCACGATTCTGAAGATAGAGTGGGCGCGAGAACTTCGTTCGTTGATACAGGTGGCGGACACATGCTTGTAACTGTTCCTGCGGTGCATTATACGCAGCAACTGTGTGAAGTCAAATACATTTAGTAACTATATGCTTATTCTCTCTATTTTCTTTACCTATACTGACTTAACTGAAATTCAGTCATTCACTGACACGGTCCAGAAAATATAAATGCGGAAAGAGCTTTGAAACGGCACAGTACAAGTTGAAAATTTGGGACCAACACGTGCATCTTCCCTCGCTCGCGGTTCAAATTTACTACATATGATAGATATGAACATACAGACGCTGAAAAGAACAAAAAAATGATAACGTAGAGAAGCGCGATACCTGTTCATCGTTGTCCCCGCTCTTCTCCGGAAGGCAAGGTACATAAAAATGGCCTGACTGGCCGTCCAGCAGCATCAGAGTCCTCTTGCCTCGAATATTGCCGCTGATTTCAAAAAGGTCCACCAGGCGATCCTTATATAACTATAGGAAAGAAGCTCTGAAGAAAATCGGCATCGGCGAGTATGTTTTGCCTCGTATACCAATATTTAACCCTATAATTGGTGATTTGCTACAAATATTCCAGCCTACTCAATTGACCCATGTGATCCATTTTTAAATGAAATGATAAATTATGAGGAATGCAGAATATACCTGATGGTATACTGGCGATCAGGCTTTTCTCTGATACACTGGAAGAGGCTCTTGAAGGCAAGAGGGAGCATCCCAGGACTTAAGTCACAGCCTATCACTGTGTAGGTCTTGCCTGCACGAGAAACAACAAACATGCGAGAAAAATGCATTACATGACTTACAACAATAATAGTTATTAAATACAGCGTTTCTATTTTATTGGATTGTTTGGAAAGAAATTTTCTTTAATTTTACCATCTTTGTGATCGTAAAAGAAAAGCACCCCCTCACCTGTTGCGGTATGGCCATACGTGATGACCGTCCCATTGCGGCAATCTACCACCCCGTTGATGATAGGCTGCATCGCTTCGGCGAGAATGTCTTCATTCGACACTTCGTGGTTGAAAACGCGATCTGCAAGACAATAACGATAACTCATTATCCCCATGTTGAACAAATCTGTCGCACCGCAGTGAAAAATTAAAAGAAAACGAAAGCCTTCTTTTTCTACGCTAGTTCGAAGTGCAGGACAAACTACGATATTTCCGATTTGAAAGTAGACCAACGAAAGATATCCTCTGATGTGGGCAAATCTAACGTTCTTAGTCAGTTCTTTAGCAGTGTATTCACAGATGAGAACTTTAACAGTATTCCAGCTATTGAGGAGCGCCCAGTCGGCTCAATGTTGAAGGTTTTTGAAATACACGAAGATGTTCTGAAGCGCCGGGTCGCTCTAAATCCCAACAAGTCATGTGGACCAGACGGCTTCCACCCTAGATTGCTCAAAGAATTAGCCACCGTCCGGGCCGGCCTTCCGACAGCATTATTCAAAAAATTAACTTGAAAGAAGGGATATTGCCGACCGATTGGAAAGAAGCTCAAGTAATACCATTGTTCAAAAACGGCGACAAAAGTAGCCCTGGTAACTATCGCCCTGTAAGTATGACAAGTGTTGTTTGTAAGGTAATGAAATCTCTTGTGAAGGATAGGATTATCGATCACTTGACTGTTCACCATCTCCTTTTAGAATTTAGACTGGCAACATGGTGTCAACATGGCTTCGTTGCCGGTAGATCCTGCACCTCTAACCTCTTGTCTACGTTGAACGATTAGACTCGCCTGCTGGACGAAAGGACGCCAGTGTATGCAGTGTACCTCGATTTTGCCAAAGAATTTGACAGTGTTCCGCATGAGCGGCTGTTGCGTAAAGTAAAGTCTCAGGGAATTGGGAGTAGTCCATTGGGTCTTAGATTTTCTAGTAGGTAGGCGACTGCGTGCCAGTATCAACGAAACCGTGTCAGACTGGGCATCAGTGCGCGCCACAAGGAAGCGTTCTTGGGTCTATTTTGTTCGTTGCTTTTATAAACGATCTGTAAGAAGGAGTGTCAACCGTGTGCTCCATGTATGCCAATGACTCAAAAGTATATAATACAGTTAATGGTGAATCAACTAAGTTGCAATTGCAGTATGATCTTGACAGTTTAGTAACTGGGCTGATATGTGGCAGCTGTGTTTAATGCTCGCAAGTGTAGAGTACTTCACCTCGGGAAGAAGAATGAACTAATAAAAAAAAAAATAATAAATCGGTGAAATAAACGTCTTCGACTTCTCAGACGCTTTGCGTTGACCAAGTTGACATGTTGAAGTACCAAGATGTAGAAGCAATGAAGCTGTTGTTGGTCGCTGTTGTGCGCCTGACCCTAGTCTCGAAACGCCGTAAGGTCACCGAAACTTGAAAAGGACAAGAATTCAGTAGAGGTGTTCAAAGACGAGCAACAAGCATAATTCCAGGCTTTAAGGGCAAGTCCTACGAAGAAAGATTAAAGATTAGGAAGCTTCCAAGCCTCTGTTATCGACGTCTGCGCGGTGACCTTATTGGAGTATACAAGTGTACTCGTGGTTTATGCAAGGTCCCACAAAGATAGCTAGAATTTGAAACAAGAAGCAACACCAGGGACCACGTCTATAAATTCACGTCACAGATAGGCATGTCGTGTATCTTTCAGATAGGCCTGTCGTGTATCTCTCACGCATGTACCTTTCTTTCTCGCGCAAGTATTGTTCTTTCTCACTCGTGTATTTTTCTTTCTCATGCATGCATATTTCTTTCTCTTGCATGCATATTTCTTTCTCGTGCATGCATCTTCCTTTCTCACGCATGTATCTTTCATACAGGCCTGCCATATGCCTTTGAAACATACAGTGGGGGGAAATAAATATTCGTACACTTGAAAAATCGTATTTTAATGTATGTAAGTACACAAACTTAACAGGAAAAGTGATTTAAATTATGTATAGAGACGCATAGTATTCAAAAATACTATCAATTGCATTGAGATTTAATTTCTTTTGATAGTATTTTTGAATACTATGCGTCTCTATACATAATTTAAATCACTTTTCCTGTTAAGTTTGTGTACTAACATACATTAAAATACGATTTTTCAAGTGTACGAATATTTATTTCCCCCCACTGTATCTGTTAGGCTAGCTTCACATTAAGGCCTGGTCTCTCTCGCGTGTTAGAATCTAACCTAATTACTTAATTATTGTACATACGCTTTGCTTTAGCTGATTGGATGGAGGCGAGAACGTCGTAGTTCAGTCCAATCTTGGTCATTATTGCTTCAACTCCAAGACTGTATAGGGATCTAATACGTGGACTAATTTGCTGCCTTAGAGAATTTTTTCTGATTTTAAGTTGGAGCAAATGTGACTTCATTTTGTTAGAAGTTCCTTAAAATTGCATGTTAGCGCTTCCGTGTTTGCTCGTTTAAATATCATCGTACTGGCTTCCTTAAGTTGGACCCGTTGGGGTTTCGGCTCCGTTGCGCTTCTCTTAATTAACTAATTAAGCCTCTAGCTTAATACAGCTTGTTCAACTTCGCACGTTTGCATCCCTGTAACTATTACCGGTACCTCCTATAACCTTCAAATATGAGCAAACGCACCTTATACCATTTTCCCTTTTTCATTCTTTCTAATTGTTCTCTTGTGAGAAGTCTGGATATGGTTTCTTTCTCTGTAAACGGATACGTACGTTCTCAGTTGATGATTTATTCTGATTTAGTGCGATATATTGGAATATTTTGAGACAGATTGAATTATTAGATATTTGAACTGACCTTTTTAAACTGTCGGTTAAGAATCCTCACACTGCGAGTTGACATCTCCAATTTTGTGTTCTGGCGTAGCTTATTTTCCCATTTAAATGATTATTTGAAATAGTTACTCGTTTCACGATGAGATTTGAGAGAGACCCGTAATCACAAATTTGTGACTCTTTCCTTTGATATTGTTATACGCTATCAACAATTTTCGTGCCTATATTGGAGTACTTTCTTCATTCTACAGTAACTGTTACCTCTGATTTATCGACTCACTGTTGGCGTCTGTAATCAACTTCGTTTGGACGTTCTAAGAACTTGAGAAAATTCGTTGGTTTCATCTCTGCATGACGCTGGTTGTTAGAAGGAATGGAAATAGCCCCTGGGAATGCGGCTATTTATCTTGCACCGCTCAAGTTAAAATAAGTAACATAATTGTTTGACATGTTGAACTTTGTTATAAACCCAATTTTGGCTCCTAGATTCATCTTGGTGACGGCTAGTGTTCTCTCGTTCCAGTTTGAACTTCAGGAACCGACGGAGTTTTTGCAATTTACGTCACCGCTGAATTTCGGAAATAATCCTGTGTAAGGAGACGCAATGGTCATGTAAATATTAGATTAGTAATTTCTCTTTTAAGTTTTACGTCACCACAGACGTGACCTCGCGTAGGAATCTGTTGTACCTTGTCATTCATATGTACCGCCCGTGTCCTGCAAATTGAAAATCATCCCTTACGCAAAATGCTACTAGAATACTACCCATTCAACTTCTACCAGCAGCAAAAAAGACCACTACCTACAATCGGCCTCATTCACCACGAATTCATGTCCCAAAACCTCACATTCTCTTGTGTTCCTGGGCTGACGCCCAAAGTCATCTTCCCGATAATAACACCCACCATAGATCTTACCCTTCACACCTCAAAGAAACCTGACCTTCCTCCTGAAGCATGGCAAGCATGCTGTGCAGATATCCTGGACCAATACCCTTCCCACACCCCTGTGTATTGTGATGGATCCAAGACGACTGAGCTAACAGCTATAGGTGTCTGGAGTGCCTCCTTCACCCTCAAAGCTCGTCTCAACAAAAATAACAATATTCTCACTGCTGAACTCTTTGCCATCTTCTATGCTCTAAAATTCCTGGAAGCCAGGGAGGGCTTCTTCATAATACTTTCTGACTCCCTCAGCTCCCTCAGAGCTCTGCAACATGTACACTCCAAGTCGCACTTCCTAGTCCTCAAAATCACCCATCTTCTATCCACATCACAAAACAAATTTATCCTAGCTTGGGTTCCATCCCACATGGGCATCAAAGGCAATGAACTAGCAGATAAGGTGGCACGAGAAGCTCTTTCACTGCCTCACACTGTGGCAACTTTACATTCAGACCACGAACTTAGGAGCATGATCGCAGCGCACTTCCATGCTCAGTGGCAGCAGCAGTGGAACAATTCTTCTTCTGAGGGATGATTTCCCATCAGAGGTGCTGATCGACTTCCTGACCGCAACCGGATTCCTGAATCAATTATAAACCAGTGACCCAACCGCACTGATCAAGGCACCGATGCCCATTGTAGGCTGGTGCTGAAGAAAAAATCAAGAAATCAAGAATTCATATGTACGATTCCACCATAGAGGTATATACGTGGTTCTTTTAGTCGTGTTTATCTTCAGTGTTGATAGTGACCTAGTATTTAAGCAAAGTTTTTATTGACGTTTAAGTGAATATTTGTAATTATATTCATTCCTGTATCTTATGTCATCCGTGCTAGATTTCTGCGTTATTACAATAGAATAGAAGTGTCGGCACTGAAGAAATAGGCCCATGGCCTGTTGCCGAGTCTTGAATTTTTCGTGACTTGATTCACTAGGGATCCGGCATTTGGAACCCGATCTTTACATAACAGACAATTGATTGAGATAGCTGCTGGACTTATTGCCTGGTTCTTAATTTGCTAGGCATTTTAAGACTGAAAATATGCTCCTGCATAGCTTCGTCTAGTCTGTTTTTGTAGGCGTTCATACTCGGAGCGTCAACGATGCTTTCAGGGAGGCTGTTCCACATGTCGGTGACTCGAAGCGAGAAGAAATGTTGTCGCATGGATGTGTCACAACGTAGTTTTTTGTTAGTTCATTTATTTCATTGGTTCTAATTGTGTTTTCATTTTTGTATGTGCTGAAAGGCGCCGAAATAAGGGCTTGCGATCAGATCTTTATTGAAACTAGTTAGTCGGCATAAAGAAAGCGCACGGTTTGGTTCAACATATTTATTGTATTTGTATTCATTGATAGGTTGTTTCGATTATTATTTGTTGTTCGTTTATTTAGTTTTATTCATCCTTCTAAACGGGGATGGTCATTACAACGCGATCATAAGTAAATGTCTGGGGCCACTGACGACTTCATTTTTATATAATTTATTTATTGAATGGGCTCCGACACTCGACTTTCAAATAAAATTTTGGTTTGAACTTCTATATTTGTGTATATTTCCCAACAGGTTCGGTCCTCCTTCAGTTAAAGAATAATCAGGGGCAGCTGCAATGCTTGCACGGGCACGTTAATTGGGAGATGCTGCCACGTCACCCACGTGTTCAGTTGTTAATACCAGTGAACTAATAATTGACTGCAAAGCACTGAATACTGATATAATAATGAATTTAAACCACCCTCCTCTCAGCCAGGTTTGGTACTCTTGCCGCGGCTCGGTTATAAAATTGGGAACCCTGTACAGTCTGAGGTGCTTATATTTCATCAAGTCTAAAGAAAAATAATTAGTTTTCTTTTCAGGTATCTTTTTCATAATTCTTTAGAATTAGTGATGTCGGATATCAAAATCTATATTAGATTTAGGGAACCTGTAGGGGATATCCGGCACTGGGCAGCCACTGAATGTAGCGACACTCAGCAAAATGGAACTACATTCTATTTCGGTGAGCATTCTTAGAAACTTGGGGATGGTTTCCGTGCAATACCCCATTAAAATTTTGAATTGAAACTAATCCTCCACCATTAATCAGCATCAAGTATCCATGCTTGCCATGATATATCAGCTATATTACAGCCAAGGGATTGGATAAATAGGGTGAAATTAAGATGAAATAGTGAATTGCAAAAATAAATATAACATAACATGTGATGTCTGCGCTGAAGAATAGACCTGATGTGGCCTGTCATCGATTCTTGTACTTTCCGTGACTTGTTCACAAGAAATCCAACAGGTCCTTTGACCAGGGCCTATACTTTCAAAATAAGTTAAGAGATCGTAAGTTCATCAGCAGATCATTGACGGCTTTGCAAGCAAAATTCACCAATCATAGACAAGAAAATAGAGTGTAAGTAGTTACGTTCACTTAGCTAATTTTGAAAGTATAGGCCCAGATCTTCAAATCTGACAGCATTTTGAAATAGCTACTAGACCAGGTTGAATCCTGCTTTAATTCCACCAGGTTAATTATTAAGCTAGGCATTTCAAGCCTGATTATGTAATGATATATTTCGCCATAGCTTTATCTGGTCAGTTTATCGCGTTCATACTCGGGAGCTTCAACGATGTAACAAGGCAGGCTGTTCCACATGTCTGCGACACGAAGTGAGAAGAAATGTTGTCGCCTGGATGAACTGCAACGCAGTCTTTTTAGTTTATAGGCGCGGTCCCTGGTGTTGGTCCTGTTTTAAATTCTAGCTATCTTTCTGGGATCACTTGCATGCTTCAATGAAGTTACCACGCAGACGTCGATAACAGAGGCTTAGAAGCTTACTATTCTTTAATCTTTCTTCGTAGGACATACCCTAAAAGCCCGGAATTATCCTTGTTGCACGTCATAGAACACCTATACTAAATTTTTGTACTTTTCAAGTTTCGATGACCTTACGGCGTTTTCATGCAGACTCTAGGTTCAGGCGCACAACAGCGACAAACGACAGCTTCATCGCTTCTACTTCTTGGTACTCGTAGGAGCGTCTGAGCAGTCGAACACGTTTATTTCCTGGATTTATTAGCTTGCGTTTCAATATGCCTAGAAATTTCAGGTCCTTATCGACATAAACTCCCAGATCTTTTTCCACGGTAGGCTTTCAAATCATTACTCTCTCGTTGCAACAATGTCTTCTCATACTGTAATCTTGCTGTTCATTGTTCTTCCCGAGTTGAAGTCATTTACACTTGTGAGCACTAAACGCAGCTTCCAGGTGTCAGCCCAGTTAACTAAACTGTCATGATCATCTTGCAATTGCGCCTTAGTTGATGCACCGTATTGTATACTTTATTCATTGGCATACATGGAGCACACGCTGGAGAATCCTTCTGGCAGATCGTTTATAAAAGCAACGAACAAAATAGGCACAAGAATGCTTCATTGTGGCGCGCACTGATGTCCAATCTAACACGGTTCCGTTAATACTGACATGCTGTCGTCTACCTACTAGAAAATCTAAGATCCGATGGAGTACTTTACTCCCAATTCCAAAAGACTTCACTTTACGCAACAGGCGCTCATGCGGAGCACTGTCAAATGCTTTGGCCAAATCGAGGTGCAATGCATCAACTGGCTCCCTTTCGTCCAGCAGGCGAGTCAAATCGTTCAACGTAGCCAAGAGGTTAGAGGTGCAGGATCTACCGGCAGTAAAGTCATGTCGACAGTCTGATAGGAGATGGTGAACACCAGGTTGAACTGTCCTTTACTGACGGCGATAATTACCGGGGCTACTTTTGTCGCCTTTTTTGAACAATGGTGTTACTTGAGCTTCTTTCCAATCGGTCGGCAAGATCCCTTCGTTCAAGTTTTTCTGAAATGATACTGTCAAAGGGCCGGCCAGGACTATGGCTAATCCTTTGAGCAATATAGGGTGGAAGTCGTCTGGTCCACATGACTTGTTGGGATTTAGAGCGACCAGGCGCTTGAGAACCTTCGTGTATTTCAAAACCTGTTAAGATTGAGCCGACTTTGCGCTCCTCAATAGCTGGAATACTGTTGCAAGTTCTTTTCTTTGAATATACTGCTAAAGAACTGAATAAGAACGTTAGCTTTGCCCACATCAGAGGATATCATTCGTTGGTCTACTTTCAAATCGGAAATATCGTCGTTTGTCTTACATTCTGAACTAGCGCACAAATAGAAGGCTTGCAGTTTTTTTTCACTGTTGTGCGACAGATTTGTTTAACATAGGGATAATGAGTTATCGTTATTGTCTTGCAGATCGCGTTTTCAACCACGAAGTGTCGAATGAAGACATTTTCGCCGAAGCGATGCAGCCCATCATCAACGGGGCCGTAGATGGCGGCAATGGGACGGTCATCGCGTATGGCTATACCGCAACAGGTCAGGGGGTGCTTTACTTACGACCACAAAGATGTCAAAATTACAGGAAAATTTCTTTCTGAAAAATCCAATACAATAGAAACGCAGAATTAATAACTTCTATTGTTGTATGCCATGTAATGTAATTTTCTCGCATGTTTGTTGGTTCTCGTGCAGGCAAGACCTACATAATGATAATCAGTGATGAAAGTCCTGGGATGCTCCCTCTTGCCTTCAAGAGCCTCTTCCAGTGTATCAGAGAAAAGCCTGATCGCCAGTATACCATCAGGTATATTCTGCATTCCTCAAAATTTATCAATTTATTTAAAAATGGACCACATGGGTCAATTGAGTAGGCTGAAATATTTGTGGCATATCACCAATTATAAGGTTAAATATTGGTATATGAGGCAAAACATACTCACTGATGCCGACTTTCTTCAGAGCTTCTTACCTGGAGATATATAAGGATCGCATGGTGGACCTTCTTGAAACCACTGGCAATATTCGGGGCAAGAAGACTCTGCTGCTGCTGGAAGACCCGTCAGGCCATTTTTATGTACCTGGCCTTACGGAGCCTCGGAGGAGAGCGCGGACAACGATAAACAGGTATCGCGCTTCTCTACGTTTTCATTTTTCACCTTCCTTTTATATAATTTTTTCAATAATTTTTAGCATTTTTTTATTCTTTTCAGTGTCTATATGTTCATATCTATCATATGTAGTAGAGTTCGAATCGCGAGCTAGGGAGGACGCTTGTGTTTGTGGTCCCAAATTCTTAACTTGTACTGTGCCGCTTCAGAGCTCTTTCCGCATTTATATTTTCTGGACCGTGTCAATGAATGACTAAATTTCATTGAACTCAGTAAAGGTAATGAAAATAGAGAATAAGCTTATAGTAAAAGTTTTTAGCGTGGTAACATATCCATGCGACATTTCTTCTCGCTTCGACTCAACGACATGTGGAACAGGCTCCCTGATGGCATCGTTGACGTTCCGGTTACAAACGCGTTCAAGAGCAGACTAGACGATGCTATACAGGAGCATATGTTCAGTCTTGAATGCCTAGCACCCAACGGACCAGGCAATAAGTCCAGCAGCTATCGCAATCAATCGTCAGTTATGGAAAGATCGGGTTTAAAGGCCCGGATCCCTTGTGAATCAAGTCGGCAACCGGCCATGGGCCTATATCTCAAGTGCCGACACTTCTATTCTATAAAAATCTTAGTCGGATTGAATGTGCTTCATTTCTCTAACTTAATTTGTTAGTAGGGCTGTATCTGATTAGATACATTAAGATTTTTTTACTAAATGTATTTGGCTTCACACAGCTGCTGCGTACTATGCACCGCGCGAACAGCTACACACATGTGTCCGCCACCTGTATCAACAAAGTTCTCGCGCCCACTCGATCTTCAGAACCGTGAGTGTCCTTCCTTCGAGGAGTGTTCGTGTTGTCTCAATTAGTGTACTATGGTCGCGCTGTCCAGCCTTTCGCATTTTTCAATAATTTTTAAAATTTTCTTCATCTCTTCAGTTTATTTATGTTATTTACATTGTTTATTGAAAGACTGCTCGTTAACAACTTATCTCCTTGTAGTTTTATCTCTTTCTCAACCTCTTCATCATGAGAGGAGTTGTAAGATATAGTATTCTTACAATGCTTATTTAGTTGGGGTTGGCTATATGCACAGATAGTGTAATCACACAAGGCTACTGATGGGTCAAGCATCAGCAGAGATCAGGCGTCAAAGGACGACGTGGCTGTGAATTCAAATCTTGTCCTGGTCTGGTAGTTATATCAAGAATAATCTATATGAGCTCCGCGATGTGATCTTTCAGTGCACTGATGGAAAAGAGTGAGTCATCGCTACAGCAATAACTTCAACTGAACAAATTTTTTATAATTCATCATGGTCAGGTGATTCATAAATTTGGACTCTATACGATGATGATAAAAATAATAGCGGTTTCAGCGTTTAGTACGCCGTAGGCCTGTCGCCGATTCTTAACATCGCAGAACACACTGCTACAATTCTGCTATGCTTAACCGCCCGGCCTCCTTGCCGACTCTGACCAGAAACTGGCGCACAGAGCTGGGATCGGACCCGCACCCGCACCTCTCTGCTTCAATCTTGGTACTCTGAAATGTAACCACTAGGCCAACTACGATGAATGCATCTAATAGTTTAAAATTTGTACGTTTTCAGAACCTTCATCGATTTCCAGAAGAACAAACTGACGCGCATTGTGAAGTGCTCGTTGGAAGGCAACGGCCAACTGCCTTCATGTGCACCGTGTCGCACTATTCTCTTGGAAACTGAGAAAACTCTGAGGTGATCATCTTATATTTTAATAGTTGTTTAATAGCAATTTTTCGGCGTTTACCTGCTGTTGACTCAATTGTATGCCTGTAATTCAAATCCATCGCAAACTCTCCCTAAATTTTCCAATCCATGCAAGTAATTTTTTGTGTGACAGGTTCGCGTCTCGCGCCATGACTATCAAAAGCCCAGTGAAGAAAGCGCGAAGTAAGGAGGCGCAATTCGAGGAGCTGCGTGAGGGGAGCGTTGCCGTGCACCACCAATTTTGTGCACCAATAAGCCCTGAATCGAACGCCTTTGNGCTTTAGCAAAGTCTAGGTACTGTCTCTTATACACATCTAGATGTGTATAAGAGACAGGGGCTGGTTCGACCCACAGCCTAGATACGGACGGCTTGGAGTGTTGAAGGCTACGTTCCGGAAGGCAGGAATCATGATGCTCCATTACATCCAGGGCAGTTGTGGTCTTCGGCAGGCGACCCCTGCGTGAGCATAATTCGCAACTGCGGAAAGAGTTTGGTAAGTTTTTTGTTTAAAAACGGGAATTTTTAACCTTCATCATTTATTCGTAGTTTTCAATTAATAAACAAAAATAGATAGAGCACACCCATTGAAATATTTTCATGTTGAGAAAAACATTACTGTCCATTTGTCAATAAATTTATGGTGTTTTGATTTTTTAATTGCAGCCGGCTGCTGCTGAGATACAGCACTTGGAAGTGGAGTTATCAAGTAGGCTGGAGAATGCAGCTACTCTGGAGCTTAGAGTCGAAGAGCTTATGGAGCGTGGGACTACGCAACAAAAAATTGCGGATTTGGAAGAATAGCTTTAAAGCCATGCAAGTGCCCCAGCTATTCCTCACATCGTCTTCAATGATGACGATGTAGGGCAAGGTGACACTAGCCTGACGTCGGAGGGAATCTCGGGATATATCCCCAAGCCGACTGGCGTTGGAGATTCCGAGACGCTCTCGAACTCGATCCAGAACTCCTCGTGAGCTCTCGTGTATAGTTAACTAGTTATAGCCTATTCATGTTCGCGAACTTAGCCGTATTTAAGGCCATCTGGCAACACTTAATTGTTCCGCTTCGTCCTTGAGAAATACATTTCGTACTCTCCGTGGCAGGAGTTATCGTTCTAACTTACCTCTCTCGAAGCCTCCTCACTCTTCCGTGCCCCTCCATGCCGAACAGTGCGACGTGGCTGGCACTGAGAGGGATTTCAGAATACTCTGTTCCACTTCTGGCGGCTAGAATTTGAGAATATTGGAGTCCTTCTACATATCATCAAACGAAAACCGTGTCTCAATAATGCGTTTAGTTCATATAATCTGGAAATAGTGAATCGCTAGGCTGTTATATTCTTTTCGTGAACACTAGGATAAAGTTGTTCCAAGCGAGTCCGGTTTTTTTTTCGATATAATGTTAGGTCTTGTTTAGGTTTTATGTCTGTCTTAGAATTTTGATAGAAATAATTTGATTGTATTCATTTTTAGTTTTTCGAACTGATGATGGAGCTGGACTCTAAAACGTTTTCAATATAGATATGGTGAATCTGCTTGGTGTTTTCTTTGCTTTAAATTCATTGTAATACATTTCGTGATACGCATAAGTACCACGGATTGAAAGTGGCGAAGGTGTTTTAGTAACCCTCGGTTACAACCCTTGACATTTTAGCGAACTTCTCAGGGGATGGGGTAATTTTGACTAATCTCGCATGGTTACACACATGATAAGAATCTTGCATTGTTTTAATAAAGCCCTAAACCAACCTATTTTTGCTTTTAATAGTCTAGTTATTAGAGTATTAGTAATCCATTGACGGAAGTCAGGCAAGAAACTCGATTCTGGGATTGTGCGGATATTTGAAGCGAGGAATACCGGAGGCTCACGTTGATCAAGGAAAACCTTGGCTGCTCGGCTAAATCACGTTGATCAAGGAAAACCTTGGCTGCTCGGCTAAATTTTGTCTGCTTAAATTTTTACGAAACGCGCGATATTTGGACATGCAAGACTGACGATAAGTTTGAGCGTGTGGACGGGGCTTTAGATTGGGGTTATTTAATCAAGCGATAAACTTGAGGTTCCAAAAATGGCGGGAAAGCTCTAGTCGCGCCGTTCTGAAGGTAATCTATATAATCCACGCCTACGCTGGAGGAAGTTCTAACTTCAAAGGTGGATCTTAATACAGTAAATTTGCAGTAAGCCAGAAAATACCAGATTTAGGCAAATATACCAGATCTAAAATATTCATACCAGACACCTGAAAATACCAGATTTGTGAAATCTGGTACAGAAATATACCATCTAGAAACGCTGGTGAATGGTCCAATGGACTTTGAAGTGTCATGGGGGAAGAACTCTTTCACTTCCAGAATTTATTGATAAGTTTGAAACAAATCGGATAATAAATATAATGCTGATTCTCATTTTCAGGCACTTTTTCAAATTTTTATTAGTTTTATCTGGAATAGATTGTGCGATGAATTTTCCAGGTTTTTCCCCCTTATGCCGCAATGGACTAGCCCTCTTGGAGCTGCCTTGGTGTATGACCATATTTGGTAATACCGTGTTTCTCGCACGTTCATTGGCTAACGGCTAACGCTGGTGACCATATTGCAAACGTTGGGCGAATTCCAATTAAAATGATTTATTTGAGCTATGAGATAATCCATCTTTTATTTTAAAAATCAACGACGAGTATTCTAATGAAAAAAAAATTATGTTTTTTAGTCCCATTCGCATAAGTTCTGCCAAAATCACTTAGAATTATTCCATACAGTAGATTTACATCCACTTTGCTTTATACTAAATTGAACAATAGATTGGACGGTTTATTCAAAATCCAAACTGTTTTAGTTCAAAGCAATACATATATTCCGTACTGTTTTTCTGTTTTATAACTTATGCAGTAGAGAAAACATGGCAGTTATTCCCTACACAATAGCAGGACGGAGCATCACGCGGCGTCCATTGCTTATGACTTTATAATGAGTTTAGTAGGACTTATTAGTCCATGGTCATGCTGATGCGCCACCTTCGTCGCACTCCGTCTCCGAGTCGTCGCTAGGCAGGTCACCCCGCCCTCGGGTCCCGGATGTAACGTTGGACGTGTTCCGTTTATTTGCCCTCCTTTGGGCCAGCTGAGACAGGATGCTGTTGCTTGTCAATTGCAGTAAGGATTGGAAGTTTCCAGGTTTGCCGACGCGAATTGTGGCTGTTCGTACTCAACCGTCGGTGCTGGGCTTCGTCTAGCATCACCCGATCAGTTGGCCAGTGATTTATTTTCGTCGCTAAATTTCTCACTAGCACGAATGCACGACGTCTCCAGTTTCAGGGAAGGCTTCTGATGTAGCCACTTTCTTCGTGGCTGGATATTTTGGATGTATTCTTTGCGCCATCTAATCCAGAATTGCTCAGCGAGATACTGGATTCGTCTCCAACGTCTTTTTCCGTAGGCGAGATTCTCGCGTTCGATGTAATCTTCTAACGTTGCGGACTTACTGAATTCGGGCAAGATTTCAGTGTGAGTAGCATAGTTGGAGACAGCGGAACGGGGTCATTCGGATCCTCACTGATGTGGGTCGCCTGCCGAAGACCACCACTGCCCTGGATTTAATGGACCATCATGATTCCTGCCTTCTAGAACGCAGCCTTCAACACTTAAAGCCGTCCGTATCTAGGCCGTGGGTCGAACCAGCACTCGGTCGGGTGGATAGGCAGGATAGCTACTAGCCTACAGCCTACTAGGCAATGAGGAAGAGGGTAGTTGGGTAACTAACCGTAACTTGGGTTTTGATTTGAGCAAGATTTTACAGCAACCTTCCTTCTTCCCTAATTAATTAATGGTCACGTCTAGTGGGATTGTAGTAAAGTCTGCAAAGCTCAGATTAGGTAGAGGTCAGCATAGCCCAAGTCCACAGTGTGATTCATATACCTTCCCGAGCCGAGCGTAATGCAGCCGGGCCCGGCCCCCGGGCATCTTCACGGCTTTTGAAACAAACCGCCCACCTGTGACTGTCACCACAACAGCGCCATTCAGTCACAGGCCGGAGTGCAACATGCTACTCCTACTCCTAACATAACCTAACCTGCGAGGCTGCG